ACACACACCTGCTGAGTGAAATAGTCAGTGATGTTCTTCTGTAGATCAGGATGTTTAGATGTCTGATAGACGGTCAGTGTCTCCAGAGGAATATCTGACAGAGAAACCACAACGATAAAGGAATACTGATTCAAATGCAAGAAGAAACTCATTTCTATGATTATTTTTGGGCAACAAAACCCCTCAAATGTGCATGTCAGGGTCATATTTTACACCATAGTCATAACAAAAAAATGAGACATCATTTTGCAAACAGAAAGCTTCATTCTGGAGTTTCAGTTTAATGTAATGTAATGTATTGCTGTATTTTCAGCATCATTACTCCAGTCTTCAGTGTCACATGTTTTGTACCCGTGATACTTTTTTCAGGATTCTTTGATGAATAACAAGTTGAAAAGAACAGCATTTATTCAAAACAGAAATCTTTTTTAACAATATAAGTCTTTACTGTCACTTTTTATCAATTTAACACATCTTTGCTGAAAAAAAGTATTAATTTCTTTCAAAAATAGAAAGAAATCTGCTGACCCCAAACTTTTGAACTGCAGTGTATATTGTTACAAAAAGATTTTTATTTTGAATAAATGCTGTTCTTTTAAACTTTATTCATCTGTGAATCCTGAAAAAAGTATCACAGGTTCCAAAAAAATATAAAGCAGCAAAACAGTTTCCAACATTGATAATAAATCAGCATATTAGAGTGATTTCTGAAGATCATGTGACACTGAAGACTGGAGTAATGATGCTGAAAATACAGCTGCGCATCACAGAAATACATTACAGTTTCATGTATATTAAAACAGAAAACTGTTATTTTAAATTGCAATAATATTTCACAATTTTAGTTTTTTCTGTATTTTTGTTTAAACAAATGCAGCTTTGATGAGCATAAAAACTTCTTTAAAAAACATGAAAATTCTTACTGATCCCAAACTTTTGAACAGCAGTGTATATTTTTGATAATATAATTTAATATCTTTTTCCTTTTTATTTTGGGGTGAAATGAAACCCTAAAAAACAACAACAACAATGAAATGTTCACTGCATTAAAAAACATTAATGAGTTTTCATGACACATGTTGCATCTTTAATATCTGTAAATGCTCTGAAATGGTTAGTAAATGTTTGAATAAATCATCTCACGGTTCTTTCGGAGCGCGGTGGGCAGGACTTCACGTTTGATGGAGCCGCAGGGAAAGAAAAGTGGCAGAATCTCTAGATTTTCTCCTGCGTTTAACAAAACACAGCATTAACAAAGACTCATCTTATGAAAATATGAGAGAGAGTAATATTTAAAGGGTCATACTCTGTAGGATGAGCAGAGCGAGAGCGTCTGCGGTTCCACTATCTTCTCCCAGCGGATTCAGACCCAAATCTACAACTGAACATTTCAGCAGAAAACAGCAATTGAAAGCATTATTAAAATGACATGCAACTGTTAGGTTTCCTAAATCTGATTTTGCATTTATAAGTGTGACTCTCATGAAGACATGTCCGGGTCATATTTCAGCACAAAATAATACATTTTTAATTATACTTTGCATAATGCACAATGACAATTAAGCCTATGTTTAGGTCAACAACCATTATTGCAATAATGCAAAAAAATAAAAAACATTCATTCTCAGCTGTATTTTTTAATACTGTATATATACACTGTCGTTCAAAAGTTTGGGATTGTAATGTTTTTAAAGCAGTCTCTTCTGCTCATCAAGGCTGCATTTATTTGATTAAAAATACAGAAAAAAACAGTAATCTTGCAAAATGTTATTACAATATAAAATAATGGTTTCTATTTTAATATCCTTTAAAATATAATTTATTTCTGTGATGCAAAGCTGAATTTCCATCATCATTACTCCAGTATAAAGTGTCACATGATCTTCAGAAATCATTCTAATATGCTGATTTATTATTAGAATTATCAACAGTTGTGCTGCCAAATATTTTTTTGGAAACTGCGATACTTTTTCAGGATTTTTTGATGAATAAAAAGTACAACATTTATTCAAAATATAAATCTTTGCTATCACTTCTTAACATTTTAACACATCCTTGCTGAATAAAAGTTTGAATTTCTTTCAAAAAATAAGAAAGAATAAAAATTTACCGACTCCAAACTTTTGAACTATAGTGTATATTGTTAGAAAAGATTTCTACTTTAAATAAATTATCTTCTTTTTAAATTTTTATTCATCAAAGAATCCTGAAAAAAGTATCACAGGTTATATGAAGCAGCAAAACTTTTTTGATAATAAATCAGCATATTAGAATGATTTCTGAAGATCATGTGACACTGAAGACTGGAGTAATGATGCTGAAAATACAGCTGCGCATCACAGAAATACATTACAGTTTAACAGATATTCACATAGAAAACAGCTGTTTTACATTGTAATAATATTTCAAAATGTTCCTGTATTTTTGATCAAATAAATGCAGCCTTGATGAGCAGAAGAGACTTCTTTAAAAAACATTAAAAATCATTCTGATCCCAAACTTTTGACCGGTAGTGTATATATATATTGCAGTATTCTTTTTTTTGCATTATATATATATATATATATATATATATACACACATTTATTAATAATGATATAATATACGTGGCAGTTTCAAGGCACAGCTGAGAATGAGGTGTATACATACATACAAACATAACATTTATTCTTCTGGTTTTGGGGCAAAATATGACACGTGCTTGTTCTTTAAAAAAAAGTAGATTTTAAACATACAAATAGAGAGAAAAGAAATGCAGAGAGACACAAAGAACAGACGATGAGGATGAGAGAGGAAGGTGATTCTCATCTGGCTGTGACGATGCACAGGTGTGTTCAAAACATCAGGCAGGTGTGAGCAGATTTACTCAGCTGACTTCAGCCACAAACACACACCTCCTTCATTAACAGCCGCGAACTTAAAACACTCATCAGGGACGTGTGAATCCCAGCCGTGTGTGAGAACGCTTCTGATGTGCTGCCATTGTGTTGAAGCACAGACAGTAAAATACTGTCTCATAATCTCCTGATCCATCAGAGCTCCCTCGTGTTCAGCTGAAATTAACAGAATCAGTTTCATACCTAAAGATGCTGTCGCTTTGCCAACCACATAAACTGACTTTTCATTCCATTTGTCTTTCACTGCGTCCCATTCTGTAGAATACAAACATTAGAGAATCAGCATAAATTGTATAAATGCATAAAATGCAAAATAAAGCATTAATGCTCCTAAAAACATCTTTATCATTTTAATCGTGCATCTAACTATTTTTTTACTTTGACCTGATATGAGGAAAAATTATTAAAAGTGGCGAGATAACTGTGAGCACTTACTTTTTTTCCTCGTACAGACAGTTGCATTTATATTTGCATGCGTGCATTTGACAGACGACTTTATCATTGCATCCAAGCTAAACTTTTTTTCAGTTCATGCCTTTCCTGGGAATCGAACCCATGACTTTGCCGTTGCTTGCGCCAAAATACTGCTTTAAAGCAGCACTATGCAACTTATGGCGCTCTAGCGGTTACTAAACAGAACTGCACACATCCCGCGGAAGAACATTTCAACCGGATCTACTTCTCTAAGTGTATGTCTATGGCGATTCACGCAGGTGTGTGTTACTCCGCAGCGGTGACCAGGCTGCAATAGTCCGAATATAAGTACTTATTATAAGTGTACCGGAGTGATTCGGAATAAGACACAAACGTGGTTTGGAAGATGAATTCATGATGTACTCACTCATTACATACATTTAGCAAATTTTGAACACAGAAAAAGTTACATAGTGCTGCTTTAATGTTTGAGAATTTGAGAACCCCTGTTTTATAAGTTTCTACAACTGAAAGATTATTAACACTTTTGAAATGATCCCTCCACACTAAACTAATAACTCATATTATACTAATAATTCATATTATAACTTATACTGTAGTTCAATATAGTTAACTGAAACTAAAACTGAAACTAAAATTAAAACCATTAAAAGAACATTTTTGTTACTTGAAAAAAAAAACGTTAACTGAAACTAAAATATAAAAAACATTTTTATTTCAGCTAGCTGCCCTTGCAACATTCCTCGTTTTAATTTGGTTTAATTTTAAAATGAACTAAAACTAAAACTGAAATGAATAAAAACTATACAGAAAAAAAAAGATAATTGCGACTTTTTATCTCACAATTCAGATTTTTTTAAGCTGAAACCTCACAATTCAGACTGTTCCCAGCGATTCCAAATAAATAAATAAATAAACAGCAAGATATAGTCAGAATTGAGAGACTTGTGAGAAACTCAATGAAAATCAGTTATATATGTAACAAACCACAAATTATAAATGCAAAGTTAATCACTCTCCTTTCACGGTATGCATTTAGTTAGTTAGGTAGTTAGTTAGTTAGCTAGCTAGTTAGTTAGTTTGTTTTTGTTGTAAAGCATTTACGAGTGTTTTGCTTTTTATGTTTTTAATCAGTTTTGTAAACAGAATCATTATGTATTCTATTTTAATTGTACAATAGTATCATATTTTGTACGTGTAACTTAAATATGTTTATTGTAAACGAAAATTAACCAATTTTTAATTTAATTAATTTAATTAATAAAAAGTATACATTTATATTAGTGCTGTCAAACGTTATACATTATGTATATATATATATATAAATACACACACATGCATGTATATATTTAAGAACAATATGTTGTGTTTATGTATTAAATATATTTATATATATTATATGAATATAAATATATACATGTAAATACATGGAATTATTTATTTCTAAATATGCATGTGTGTGTATTTATTTATATATACATAATAAATATACACAGTACACACACATATATTATGTAAACAAAAACTTTTATTTTAGATGCGATTAATCGTTTGACAGCACTAATTTATATATGTTGAAAAAACTACAAAAACACATAAAACAACTAAAATATAAATGGAAAATATAAAAATAAAAATTGATTCAAAATATTATTAAAGCTAACTCAATGATACTAAAATAACACTGCAGTCGTTCCTTATAAATCCCATATGGAAGAGTTACTTTTTTGTGAAAATTTAATTTTGTGACATTGTAACAAAGAAATCATGCATCACTCATCAACTACAAAACAAAAGCAACTGCAAAGGCTGTGAGCATCTGCTGATCCAGACTCACTGTGTCTGTGTCTCTGAGAGTCTAAGCAGCTCTTCACGGCCTCCACGGCTCTGGGACTGCTGAAGATCAGACCTCCAAACCTCTCGGGCTCAAAGAGCTGGTGTTTCCCCAACAGAAGGACACAGAGTTCATATCTAACAAACCACAACAACACCAGGCAACTTCAGAAGCGGGTTTCCACACTCACCCGCTCGGAGAGCTCATTTAGAGACACAGATCTGAAGGACAGAGCCGGAATCAAAGCAGCCGTGTGTCCACAAGAGGCCAATTCCTGGAAGAAACAGCCACATTGTTACCAGTGTTGCCAACTCATGTTCAGGGGAAGCTGCTAAAGGAAGGTTGATTTGTTGCTAAAAGTTGCTAAATTATGTCACTGCGCGATGACGTCATTACGTGTGTCGCTACATCAAATCAAATCTTAAATTTAGATTTGTTCGTAAAATAATATAAATGCATATTAAAATGTAAATAACCATTTTTTAAATTTTGTTAGCTAGTAAATAACTAAAACTACACATTCTGAACAATTGAAAAAGTAGTTAGTTCGTATATTACACTCTAAGACAAGCTACTATGTTACAATGAAGGAATTTTCCATATTGATCTTTCCACTGCATTTTTAATTACACATTGTAATTTGTGTTTTCAGGTTAAAACGGTTAATGGATAATGCCCTGGAAAATTACTAGTACCTTTTCCATTTTTGGAGATATCTTTCTTACTAACTGATCAACAACCGCAAGTACAAGCTACTAACAAAGTGTAACATAAATGAACAATTATTCAATATTATTATTAAATTGAACAACTGAAAATAGCAGCTAATTTAATTCACGTGAGGTGTGTACTGCTAGGCATCTTTGGATTTCTCTTTTTGTGTAATTTAGATTTTTTTTTCATCATTTGAGTCACTTATCAAAAGTTGATAAATTCATTTTAAAATAGCTACATTTGTTGCTAGGTGCTTCTGGAAGAAAAAGTTGCTAGGGTAGTCTGAAAAGTTGCTAAATTTAGCAACAAAGTAACACTCTCAAAGCACTTCCTGTGAGTTTTAATACAGCACTGAATCAGCTTTACCTTCATATAAGGGTCTGCTTCATCTCCACTCTCTCGTGGCTCTTTCAGAAGTAGCACTTTCATTTCTGCAGGCATCTATAACCACTGAAACAGACAATGCTTTAATAATAATAATAATAATAACGCCAGAGGGAGGTTCTGCTGAATATTCAAACGAATATCAGCATTTGATACAACAACGCCCATCAGAATCCACATCTGTCACACACTGATAACAAGCACACGGCAGGAACTGAAGGATATGTGTTTTCATCTGCTTCTGCTTTTGAGGTTTGCGTCAGACTGCTTGTGTTTACATGCACTGACATCAGTCAATTATGAAACTTATAAGACAGCAAACACAGCGATTCTGGTGCAGCTAAAAAGCGTCAGAGTGCTTAATGGATATAGCTTGATATTAGTTGGAAAATGCATCATGACATACTTGCAGCGAGCGAGTTTATGCAGCTTTCCATGTGATTGTAAAGTATGAAGCAGGACGCAGCAAGCGCTACATTTAAAAAACAGAATACAGTTATTTTTCAAAATAAAAGTCCCTGTTTGCTGTTGTTGTTTTTTATTGCTCTTGTTTGCGGGAGAGGAGTATGGAAGCAAATTAAAAAAAAAAAAAAAATCTCACAATTCGGACTTTTTTAACACACTTCTCCCAATTCAGACTTTTCCCAGTGATTCCAAATAAATGAATAAATAAATTGCAAAATATAAACTCAGAACTGTGAGACAGACACTCAATGAAAACAGCTTTTGTTCTCTCGCGTGCGTATGCAGCAGTTATATTTCTTGGATGTGTCTTTATGAAGGACAGGCAGAAGTTAGACCTGTGGACGCCTATTATTAAAAAAAGGTTAGAATTTTGAGATGTAAACTCAGAATTATGAAAAAAAAAATAGAATTTTGAGATGTAAACCCAGAATTGTAAAAAAAAAGTTAGAATTTCGAGATGTAAACTCATAATTATTAAAAAAAAAGGATTTCGAGATGTAAACCCAGAATTATTAAAAAAAGGTTAGAATTATGATATGTAAACCCAGAATTATAAAAAAAGGTTAGAATTTTGAGATGTAAACTCAGAAATATAAAAAAAATGTTAGAATTTCTAGATGTAAACTCAGAATTATGAAAAAAATGGAATTTCGAGATGTAAACCCGGAATTATAAAAAAAAAGTTCAAATTTTGAGATGTAAACTCAGAATTATTAAAAAAAGGTTAGAATTTTGATATGTAAACTCAGAAATATAAAAAAAAAGTTAGAATTTCTAGATGTAAACTCAGAATTATGAAAAAAAATAGAATTTCGAGATGTAAACTCAGAATTATAAAATAAAAGGTTAGCATTTTGAGATGTAAAATAAGAATTATGGAAAAAAAATAGAATTTCGAGATGTAAACTCAGAATTATACAAAAAAAGTTTAGAATTTTGATATGTAACCTCAGAAATATGAAAAAAAGGTTAGAATTTCGAGATGTAAACTCAGAATTATTAAAAAATGTTAGAATTTTGATATGTAAACTCAGAAATATAAAAAAAAGGTTCGAATTTCGAGATGTAAACTCAGAATTATTAAAAAAAGGTTAGAATTTTGAGATGTAAACTCAGAAATATAAAAAAAAGGTTCGAATTTCGAGATGTAAACTCAGAATTATTAAAAAAAGGTTAGAATTTTGAGATGTAAACTCAGAAATATAAAAAAAAGGTTCGAATTTCGAGATGTAAACTCAGAATTATTAAAAAAAGGTTAGAATTTTGAGATGTAAACTCAGAAATATAAAAAAAAGGTTCGAATTTCGAGATGTAAACTCAGAATTATTAAAAAAAGGTTAGAATTTTGAGATGTAAACTCAGAAATATAAAAAAAAGGTTCGAATTTCGAGATGTAAACTCAGAATTATTAAAAAAAGGTTAGAATTTTGAGATGTAAACTCAGAAATATAAAAAAAAGGTTCGAATTTCGAGATGTAAACTCAGAATTATTAAAAAAAGGTTAGAATTTTGAGATGTAAACTCAGAAATATAAAAAAAAGGTTCGAATTTCGAGATGTAAACTCAGAATTATTAAAAAAAGGTTAGAATTTTGAGATGTAAACTCAGAAATATAAAAAAAAGGTTCGAATTTCGAGATGTAAACTCAGAATTATTAAAAAAAGGTTAGAATTTTGAGATGTAAACTCAGAAATATAAAAAAAAGGTTCGAATTTCGAGATGTAAACTCAGAATTATTAAAAAAAGGTTAGAATTTTGAGATGTAAACTCAGAAATATAAAAAAAAGGTTCGAATTTCGAGATGTAAACTCAGAATTATTAAAAAAAGGTTAGAATTTTGAGATGTAAACTCAGAAATATAAAAAAAAGGTTCGAATTTCGAGATGTAAACTCAGAATTATTAAAAAAAGGTTAGAATTTTGAGATGTAAACTCAGAAATATAAAAAAAAGGTTCGAATTTCGAGATGTAAACTCAGAATTATTAAAAAAAGGTTAGAATTTTGAGATGTAAACTCAGAAATATAAAAAAAAGGTTCGAATTTCGAGATGTAAACTCAGAATTATTAAAAAAAGGTTAGAATTTTGAGATGTAAACTCAGAAATATAAAAAAAAGGTTCGAATTTCGAGATGTAAACTCAGAATTATTAAAAAAAGGTTAGAATTTTGAGATGTAAACTCAGAAATATAAAAAAAAGGTTCGAATTTCGAGATGTAAACTCAGAATTATTAAAAAAAGGTTAGAATTTTGAGATGTAAACTCAGAAATATAAAAAAAAGGTTCGAATTTCGAGATGTAAACTCAGAATTATTAAAAAAAGGTTAGAATTTTGAGATGTAAACTCAGAAATATAAAAAAAAGGTTCGAATTTCGAGATGTAAACTCAGAATTATTAAAAAAAGGTTAGAATTTTGAGATGTAAACTCAGAAATATAAAAAAAAGGTTCGAATTTCGAGATGTAAACTCAGAATTATTAAAAAAAGGTTAGAATTTTGAGATGTAAACTCAGAAATATAAAAAAAAGGTTCGAATTTCGAGATGTAAACTCAGAATTATTAAAAAAAGGTTAGAATTTTGAGATGTAAACTCAGAAATATAAAAAAAAGGTTCGAATTTCGAGATGTAAACTCAGAATTATTAAAAAAAGGTTAGAATTTTGAGATGTAAACTCAGAAATATAAAAAAAAGGTTCGAATTTCGAGATGTAAACTCAGAATTATTAAAAAAAGGTTAGAATTTTGAGATGTAAACTCAGAAATATAAAAAAAAGGTTCGAATTTCGAGATGTAAACTCAGAATTATTAAAAAATGTTAGAATTTTGATATGTAAACTCAGAAATATAAAAAAAAGGTTCGAATTTCGAGATGTAAACTCAGAATTATTAAAAAAAGTTTAGAATTTTGATATGTAAAATCAGAAATATTAAAAAAAGGTTAGAATTTCGAGATGTAAACTCAGAATTATTAAACAAAGGTTAGAATTTTGATATGTAAAATCAGAAATATTAAAAAAAGGTTAGAATTTCGAGATGTAAACTCAGAATTATTAAACAAAGGTTAGAATTTTGATATGTAAACTCAGAAATATTAAAAAAAGGTTAGAATTTCTAGATAACTCAGAATAATGAAAAAAATTAAAAATTTCGAGATGTAAACTCAGAATTATGAAAAACAAATAGAATTTCGAGATGTAAACTCAGAATTATTTAAAAAAAGGTTAGAATTTTGATATGTAAACTCAGAATTATTAAAAAAAGGTTAGAATTTCGAGATGTAAACTCAGAATTATGGGAAAAAAAATAGAATTTCGAGATGTAAACTCAGAATTATGGGAAAAAAAATAGAATTTCGAGATGTAAACTCAGAATTATGGGAAAAAAAATAGAATTTCGAGATGTAAACTCAGAATTATGGGAAAAAAAATAGAATTTCGAGATGTAAACTCAGAATTATGGGAAAAAAAATAGAATTTCGAGATGTAAACTCAGAATTATGGGAAAAAAAATAGAATTTCGAGATGTAAACTCAGAATTATGGGAAAAAAAATAGAATTTCGAGATGTAAACTCAGAATTATGGGAAAAAAAATAGAATTTCGAGATGTAAACTCAGAATTATGGGAAAAAAAATAGAATTTCGAGATGTAAACTCAGAATTATGGGAAAAAAAATAGAATTTCGAGATGTAAACTCAGAATTATGGGAAAAAAAATAGAATTTCGAGATGTAAACTCAGAATTATGGGAAAAAAAATAGAATTTCGAGATGTAAACTCAGAATTATGGGAAAAAAAATAGAATTTCGAGATGTAAACTCAGAATTATGGGAAAAAAAATAGAATTTCGAGATGTAAACTCAGAATTATGGGAAAAAAAATAGAATTTCGAGATGTAAACTCAGAATTATGGGAAAAAAAATAGAATTTCGAGATGTAAACTCAGAATTATGGGAAAAAAAATAGAATTTCGAGATGTAAACTCAGAATTATGGGAAAAAAAATAGAATTTCGAGATGTAAACTCAGAATTATGGGAAAAAAAATAGAATTTCGAGATGTAAACTCAGAATTATGGGAAAAAAAATAGAATTTCGAGATGTAAACTCAGAATTATATAAAAAAAAAGGTCAGAATTTTGATATGTAAACTCAGAATTATGAAAAAAAAAAAAATAGAATTTCGAGATGTAAACCCAGAATTATTAAAAAAAGGTTAGAATTTCGAGATGTAAACTCAGAATTATGAGGAAAAATTTTAGAATTTTGAGATGTAAATTAAAAATTCAGAGAAAAAAGTCAGAAATGCAAGATGGAAACTCAGAATTATAAGAAAAAAATCTGAACTGTGAGATGTGAACTCAGAACTGCGTGGGAAAAAAAGTCAGAATTCTGTTTATGTCTTGCAATTTTGTAGTTATATATCGCAATTCTGACTCTTTTTTTTCATATTTGTGACAAAAAAGTCATTATGAGTTGCATTTACCTTTTTAAAATGTTTTAAGGGCCTCCACAGGACCAGAACTAACCCTAGTATTGCGGTGGTGAGTTTTGCATGAACAACACCTCTCGGGCTTACTCAGAACATGTGCAAACCTAGTTGTATGTTTCGATGATAAGTCTGAGTTTCTACAGCTCTCGTGGGTCTGATGTGCTCTCAGGTTGATGGTATCGCTCTGTGAGTTTTCTCGTCGCTCTGATAGTCACTGCAGTGCTGCACACAATACAATACTGACAGTGATGAAGGAAACGACACAGCGTGTTTTATCTGCGCAGTCGCTGACGTTTCCTCATACTCTTGTCTGTCTGTCTGTCAGTATAATGGAGCGATGTGGACGGGAAATAGCATTTTCTTGTAAAACATACGCTATTAATCTCAGAAAAATCATTTTTCACAGTGCAAAGTTACACATAATACATAAAGGCCTTTAGAAAGTCTGGCAGATGTCATGATTTTAGATTTTTATTTTTTAGTGCCTGTTAACTACAGACAGTCATTCAGACCTTTAGTTTATTTAAACTTTAAACTCTAACCCCCAATT